AGAGAAACAAACCTAATTATCATTTCTGCTTTGCAAATTTAGCGGTTTTAGTTCATTTCTAACAGACATCCCAAGACAGAGTCTTAATTCTGTATTTTTTTTTTAAGAAAATGTCTACCCAGAAGGGCAAGAGTGGTCCCATTAAAGCTGTCTGAGGTATCTATCTTAGCATAGCTGGGCCCCCCAAGAGAGGCTTAAGTTAAGARAAGGCTCTGCTCTTAGATTTTAAATAATGACCTGTTAGAACTACCTTGTCATTTCCTCCTCCAAAGTGGTGTAAGTTTGAAATTTGAATAAATTTCATCTTTGACATAAAATACTAAATTCCACCCTACGTACAGCCTGCAACAGACGGATGAATGAACAAAACTTAGGAGCAACTGGGGGAAACCCTCCCCAGACTTGCCGCTCCGACCTCCTAAGCGGCTTCCTCGGCCCCCCAGGACAGCACCGGGCGCCGCTCAGCCCAGCTCCCCAGCCCGAGGCGGCCGAGACCAGGGCAGCGAGGCGGCGCAGAGGCCGCTCGCAGGCCCCATGGGCAGCGGCCTGCGGCTCCCTCGCAGGCCCCACAGCGAGCGGCCTGCGGCTCCCTCGCCGACAAGGACACAAGACCCACGAGTGTGCACCCATCTTCCAAACAAAAATAACTCTGCTCATTAACACTCTCCAGCAGGGACTCGTTTAACAAGAAACTGAAAAACCTGTTCGTGTCAGATTACAGGCCTGATGCTTCAGCGAGAGGACTCCGGCACTGCCACGGCCCTCCGATGTCCAGGCACGGGGACAAACACACCAGCTGCGTTTTCTTCTGTCCCTCAAGCTACCGTACAAAGTTTGACCCATTGTTTAGGAAGCTCTAAACTGGAACATATAGGATATACTACATATAATCCAAACCTTTCACAAAGGCGTCAAATGGTCTCCCTAAGACAGTTCTGAAAAGACCCTGTCAAACCGCAGGCTGCAGACACTTCCAAATACACAACTTTGAAGGCATTGGAAAACCTTTATGAACTGATGGTTATGGCTGCTTTTTACTTTTTTCTTTCCTTTAGTATGGACTAATTCCTCATGAGAACCAAATACTGACCAAGTGACATCCGATTTATGGAAACCGCTGCTTCCCAAGCTATGTTGCTAAAGTGTGACCAGGGAGGTGGGGAAAGGGGCACATCTGAAACCTGACAGACACACTGAAGAGTACAGTGTGATCAAGCCCTTCATCTTTCACACACTTATTCAAAAGTCTAAACTTCTACTTGAATTCGCAACTGCAAAACAACACTTTTTGGCCTAATCACAAAGATGAATGTTAAACATCACACACACAAACGCATGATATAAGGGGCTGGATTAACACACTGTTAATTGAAACCATATGGCAAAAAAAAAAAAAAAAAAAGAAAAAGGTGGGTGGCATGCAATTGAACAGACTCCTAGGTAATAAAGCAATGTATCAAAATAAAGATAAATGAGATTCAAAAATATTAATCATGATTTTCCTATAAGCAATAAACTAAGTCTTTTTCTTGGTACGTCCAACCAATTTTGTTTTTTGAGGCACAAAAATAAATGCATTGACCAGGACTCTATAATAAAAGTGAAATAAATATTTTACACAATATAATTATATCTAGAGATTTTTTTCCAGGTTATTTTAAATCATTGTGTGCAAGTGTTTTGGTAACTGAACCAATAAGTAAAAATACATACCACAACGATATAATTTAGAAATAAAAATATTTCAACCATGCAGACCAATTTTCAGCATATGAGACTGCAACTCCTCCTTTTTAGTTAGTCATTAATATCAAAATCAGTAGCATAGACAAACATAAACATTTCCGAGTTAACCATTACAAAATGCACCACATGAATTAGATATGGGAAAATCAGTAATGGCAAAATGCAATAAACTGAGTTGCACAAAAACACTTTTTGAAAGGATAATAAGCATTAGGTCCAGTTTTACTTCTGTTTGATATCTTTTTATACATATATGTATTTCACATTCATGAAATTACCAATCCAAATTTGGAAGAGCTGCACATAAAAGAGAGGAAATAAAAATAATTTAGTGCACACAGAGACCAGAATTTCAAAACTCACAAAAAATAGCATTAATCACGAAAGGAGAGTTACGTATCCAGCTGAAGAAGCAGCTACAGATACACACTGAGCAGTGCAGAAGAAACTCGAGCAGCAGCAACGCTTGTGCTTAAAACAGTTGTCAGAAAAATAAGATTTGTATGTGTGTGACATGAGCCATAAAACCAAAAGTCTGGACTTGCTAGGCAAAGGCGTGTTACAGATAAAGAAAAAATAAAATCAGGTTACTTCCAGACTAAGTGCAATGAGTCATGTGTGTGGAATGGTGTTGTAGGCACCAGGCTACAGAGAAATGAGGCTACAAGCTGAAAATAAGAGAAAAAAAAGAAAGAAAGAATAAAACAAGCTGTTTAACAGGAGCAGACTAAAAATAGCTCAAAGAATGATGAGAGGAACATTAAAATACAGCTAGAGCTAATGTGTCCTTGCAGGTTCCAAGATACGAAGATGAGGAACATTTAAATGGCACAAAAGAACATGACTGAGAATACTGACGTGAAATCACGAAAAAGAACTGCTAAACACCAGGCAAATTCTCCTGTCAGTGAGAGAGAGTAATTGAAATAACCTGCCAAAGGAAGCCTAATCATTTTGAACATACAAAAACCTCACTGTCCAAGACACTATTAAAATGCGTAAGTCTACAAACCTGTTTTAGCAAGCAGATGAACTAGGTAACCTACATAATTTTTTCATCCCTAACTTCTATGATGATGTTCAGAAGATCTGACAGGCTCATGCACAATACCCTGCAGTCCTACAAGAATGTGAGCAAGTACAGTAAAAAGACATTGACATCAATTATGAAGACCAGCACAAAAATATATATACTCCACAACCTCCTGTAAGGCTACATTTGTTTTTTTTTGTTGTTGTTTTTGTTCTTTTTTTTTTTTTTTAAAGGCACCTCATCCCCTAGCTATTGCCAGCTTTACAGAATCACACCTCAGTGATTTTTATCTTTCAATTCACATTTGAACAGCCCCTTCTTACATTCCAATGGTAATCAGAATGACTGTCTTTAGAAACAAGCATGCTGGCCTATTAGTTTTATGTACAGCCATTTAAACGATAGTAGCTACGTACTGTATTGTGTAAGCAAAAGCACAACATTCATTTCATACTCACACCATTATCCTTTGTATACACAAACTCAAGAGAACTCTTAATACTAAAACATTAAAATGCACCCATGGAGTCTTCCCTTACTAGACACATTTAATACATGTTTACAATATATATATACACACATATATAATATACATAACTTTTAGAATTTTTCAAATAAATCTTTGTAATTCCTTTTCAAAAAGAAATAAAATAATGACACTGAAAGAATAAGAGTCAAGTACACAGAACTCTCACAAAGTTGAATGCTCAGTTTTGCAGCCAAGTTTCCCCCTTTTCATCATAACCAAAGCACATTAGAAAAACTAAATAATCTGAATTACTATTGTAGTTGACTGTTTAATGGWAAACGTTTTCATCTTATCTATGGAAATATATGGCATATCAGTATCATGAAGTGACATATCAGAATATTCTGAGCAATAAAAGGTACTCCAGGATATTTTAGCAGTAAATATAATGTATTGCAGGCTCAAACAGCACAGGTCAACCTTTTATTCTAAATAATGCAGTTAATCTAAACTCTGAGTCCAGCTTAAAACATAGTTCCATCCTTAAAGGTCACTCTAAAACAGCATGATCAAATCCTATGTCGGTATCTTTCGATGATTCCTTTTTAAGAAGTGTCAGTTTAAAAGGTAAAGATTTATTTATCAACTTCCAGTCTTTAGCTCAGGGTGTTATTTGGAAGAGTTACATTGGGTTCTTTCCTACTCACATCAACAGCACACAATCTCCAGCATGAATTCTGCTTTTCATTACACTTAAAAGGAAAACACCAACTCCACAGACTTGAAAAAGAGGAGTAAGAACTCTGATAATGCTGTGTAATAGAAAAGAATCCATGCACTTTCCTTTAAGAAGGGATAAAAAGAATATGTTGGTTTAAAAGTTATTTGTCATTCAAATCAACAGAGCAGCTCTGAATACACAAACAAAGCATCTGTTGAGTAATAAGAAAGAAAGAAAGAAAGAAAGAAAGAAAGAAAGAAAGAAAGAAAGAAAGAAAGAAAGAAAGAAAGAAAGAAAGAAAGAAANAAGAAAGAAAGAAAGAAAGAAAGAAAGAAAGAAAGAAAGAAAGAAAGAAAGAAAGAAAGAAAGAAAGAAAGAAAGAAAGAAACCCCACTCATTCTTCTCATTCTTCACATAACCTGATCATTGGCACATCTTTAAAAGTTCCACAAGTGTTAAAGTTAGGAAAAATCTCTGGAAACAGCACAATCTGTCAAACTGGTGGAACTTCGTATGGACATCTGTTACAGTAATTGAACTCACACGGAGTAACAGGCATAGTTTTTATCTTCAAATGAATTAAAGTATTTCACTGTTACACTTAATGCCCTGAATGACACTTTTTTTCCCTCCTGTTTGTTTTTTGTTTAGCAGGAACATAAAAAAAAAAAAAAAAGAGATGAACATCTGACAATTATACTGGAAGAGAGTTTCTTTGGAAAGTTGTGTGACAATTTCTTGTGCCAGGTCTCCAAGAATAAACAGTATTATAAATCTGAATAAGTTAATCTGCTACTACAGTATATACAGACTGCTTCAGTCTGTTGTTAATTGTGACTAGACTAAAGGCTCAGCTTCTAGCCACACACTAATACAGTCTTTAAAAAAAATTAATTTTTTTGCAAACTAAATATTTGCTGTATAACATAAAAGATGTAAAAAAACTTTTCTGCATTTTAATTTTTGTTAGTAATTTGCTTTCCTTTACCACATTTATCTTAGGCTAACAGCCAGGTGGCTGAGATTAACTACCAGCTACTGCTCTCTGAGCACTATCTACTTATTAATACCAAAGGGATGATAAAGTGACTCTCACACAGCACAGTAATGAGCATGTGAACTGACACTTTTTCCAGGTGATTTAATTTTAAGCACATTAAGATTCCCCCATGAGAAGCATCCCAGGAAGTTTCCCTCTTTTCCCACTCCCTGAAGCAACTGGACTGTTCCTTTCCAGTATCCCATTTTATTAACAGAGAATACATAGACCTACGTTTCACCCAAGGCCTGCCTGGATGAAAACTCACACCCTCTGAAATAAAAGCGCTTCTTTTGTTTTTGAACTATTTGAAACTGAGAGTTTCCAAGCTCTCAGCACCAGCTGAGCTCACAGAAACCAGAACAAACCTTAATTTAGAAAAGAGCATCCTGCAAAAACTAAACACTTACAAACATTCTCTGAATTATAGGGCAGGGTAAGGAGACTCTTGCCCTCTTCTTCTCTTTTGTGCAGCTGGTTAAATATATACAAGCTAGAGTTGACAGGGAAGCACTCTGTCATACAAACACTTTAGCCAGAGCATCTGCTCCTGCACTGGCAATATAGCATTTGGATGGGTGGAATGCCACATCGTGAATGGATTCATCAAATTTTTTGCGATGAGCAGTAAATTCCTGGATGCAGGTCTTACTTTCAAGATTCCATAAGCGAATTGAACAGTCATGACCTAAAGCGCGGAGGAAAAATAAAACAGTTTTTGTCATAATTCTCAAGTTTACCACCATTTTGAGAAAGGAAAATAATGAAATTTAATATACTTACTGCCAGACATCAAATACAAGCCATTGGGATCAACAGCTAAACTTGTAACTGCATCTAAGTGAGCTACCATGGAATGGATCAGTTTTCCTTAGGGAAAATTAAAAAAAAAAAAAAAAAAGAAGAAAAAAGGAAAAGATTTACATTATTTCTCTGCAATTGACTTAATTATCTGTATTCTTTGCTTACCACAGACTACCTTACTATAAATACAACATCTTGTCTCACAGTTGAATATTATTATGCAGGAAATCATTCTTAATACGTTTACTATCTCAGGAGAGCAGCAGTACTAAGAATAGCAGCTTTGTTAGCCCTTACACAGTGTGCGTGAAACTGCCCTGATGCTGTAGTCAGGGGGTCTTTTAAGTGTCTGCCTCTTAAGTGATTAAAGTTAAGCAGAACTATCTTGARTGTGAGGGAGGACAGTGGCCAAGTACACTGCTAAACAATTAATATAAATTAGAGTAGGAAAAAGTGATATATTTAATCAACACAGAATCAACATCCTATAACAGGACACTACATAATAATAATGACTTAATATTAAAAACAACAAATTAAGGGCCAAATAGAAAAAATGAAAAGGCTATGTCTCCTCTACTATTTCAGAGGTGTATTAAACAAACCAGGTATTTTCAGCTTTTTTCTCAACTTTCATCAAGTCCTTAGACATCTTCTCATTTAACACAAATCAGGGTAACGATACACAATCGTCAAGAATATGGGAATATCTTAACTTTAAATATAGTGTGACCTGGAAGTAAAGAAGTCATAAACTGAATATCCTCAAGATTCCTCAAAATAAAACCAGACTGATACCCCATTCCACGCAAAAATTTCTTTATATGGACTGGCCATCTTCTGGCTCTACTTGTGAGAAGCTATTTCTCTGTCAGAGGGTATCCAACTCTAAACATCGCTCAGGATTGATGTGAAGAATAATCACAAAGAAATTGTTTCTGTTTTATTTTATATAATGTGACAATACCTACCTGTATTGTTGTCATAGAATTTGATGTGTCTGTCCTCATGAGCAGTGATACTAATTGGAAGAGTTGGGTGGCTGATGACTCTGTTTATCTGACAGGAAGAACTGATTGCTAAGGAAAAAAAAGAAAAAAAAATATGTATCAACATATGAATTGCTAAGTCCTTTGAAAGACTGCTACTATGAAATAAATATGTGATCATTGTTATCAGTAATATAATCCTTAACTTTACATAATGGAAATTCTTTCAACTAACGCTTCAGATACATTTTTACTCTAAAATGCTTTTCAAATTTCACACACACACACACACACACACACACACACAGAGGCATACATTAACCATACATGTGAGTGTAAATGCAAACACAGTCCACACTTCTAGAAAATGTATCACTTAAGAACGGGAAGTCAAAGATGACAGCATGTTTTGAAAGCAAACAGGATTCCTCACCTTAACCACCTCAGAGATAATATCACCATCAAAAATCTTCAATCGCTTGATACACAGAGATTAAGATTCTTCTTGTGGCAAGGGAATCTAGTCTRTACATAGCAGCATCATTTTTCTGGCCTTCAGGCCTCTTGAAATATCAAGTTTTAAGTCTCTAACCTGCCTGTAAACTACTACTACTCAAAGCAGGAATTAGGAAATTATTTTTGGTGCTTCATGTTTTGATTAGAAATGCAAGCATTGCCTCGATGCACAGACTAATGCTCTTAAAAGGACAGATTAGCAGGGAAAACACCAAGGTCCACTTCCCAGATCAAAATAAAATAAACTCACACATGAAACAAGATAACTGTAYTTAGTCAAACTGCAGCCAAAGGACACTCAACATCACCTAATCAAAATTTTGCCAAATGAAATAAAATACCACTACAAGATCACTTGCTACACAGATGATGAAAACTTCAATTTTATGTCTTCCTCTAAGAAATGGAACCTACAAGTAGTGTCAGCAGCTAAAGCACATCTAAAAAATGTAAATTACTAAAAACACCTCAAAGTACTCCCTATAGCAGATGAAACTGTACCAAAGCTGGTTATTCTCTGCTTTAAAATGCCAAAAAGAACAGCACTTATCACAAAGAGCAATAGCCCTGATTTTATAATAGACACACATGAACTGCAGTGTATCTCTAAGTATTTTATGTAATTAAAAAAAATTTAAGGGAAAAAAGTAATGTTCAAAAAAAAAAAAAAGACTAAAAGACTGCACACTTATAGAATATAAAAGAATAATTCACACACTGTGGTTTCTTCTTCTACCTTTTGTCACCAGTAACTGCATTCTTCTGCTTCTAAAGTGCCCATAAGGTCTGGTACAGAAATAACAACTTTGTGTTACAACTTAAAACGCAGATTATGATGTGATTCATAACATTAACCATCACCACACTCTCTGCCTATTATTTTTTAAAACACTTAAATGACCATTAACAGTTGCTGATCTTGAACAAGAAGGTTTTTTGTTTTTTTTTGTTTTTTTTTTTTTTTGGATACATACTACTATCGACTCCAGACTCCAGGGTAAGAACTCGTTGCCGTGTCTCCATGTTAAAAATGCTCGTGTGCCCACTGTTAAATGATGCTACCATGAGGCTTGGGTCGCTGCTCACAAGATCCACTGATGACGGGATTCCCAATTCTAGAAAACAAGTGAGAAAACATTTCTGCATGATTTAATCAAAACAAACAAATGAACAAAGCACTTCGTTTTTAAAAAGGTCATCTTTAGGAAAGGAAAGCCTAATTTGACCTTAAAACAAATACAGATTTCTTCTCCAATGCACTACTTGAAATGCTGGAACACAGGTGCTCTCTTGGATGTATTATATTAAATTACTACTTCAAGCCTGGCATGCCTTTTTATTACAGCTTATAAAAATCTGTACTATACCAAAAATCTAGATTGCCTGCTTGATCGCTACTTTTATCMTATTTCTTGGATATGCTTAGACACTAGAACTGGGGCAAGGACAAAGGTATACTCTGAAATCTACTGGAAAGTACAAAYGACCACCCCTCTCTTCCTTCTTGCAGCTTTAGGACCAAATCTCAATCAAACCTCCACTGTATCAAGCAGGAAGACTTAAAATGACTGTAGTAAAAAAGGACAGATGATGAAAGTTAGTATTTTAATCACAAAAGTTACTAGTAATCCCGTTAAATTTTTCCAAGTGCAAATTTATATGTTGATACCGTCAGCGTGGCAAGTTACTTATACAAACTATCAACTCCAATACAAAAYATCTCCCAACCTGCTCACGACACTAATGCACCTGATGTCCTCTTTACACTGTCACTATCTGAACACTCCAGAAGAGAAGCAGAGATTGGCAGAACTTGCACCTAAAACATATCCCTTAGCACCTTTCTCTTTTTCTGTTTTCTGTTCTCCACCCACTATCTGAAATATCAGCAGATGTTAGGAGGAGGAGGCAAAGGACTAGGTACAGTGGCACACTGAAAGTTAATGCAGGAATATCATCACTGCTTCTCTCAGCCTAAGATTGCCAAGAGGAAGACCTTGGACAAACTGCCTGTGTGGCTCATGAGTGCTGGCACTTATCAACAGACCCTCCAATAAGGCCAAAAACCATCAGGGTGCTGCTGCCCTGTCCTCTTATCTGGTTAAATCTGCAAAGATTAACTTAGAGGATTTAAATAACAGCTGCTGAGGTTTTTTATTTTTTTTCCCTCCAGGCTTTGCAATAAGACATATAGAAAACTGAGTTTTAAAGGAAGATCTTGGAATTTCACAACTGGATTTTGGTTCAGTTTGAAACAACACATGAAAACAGACAGCTCTGTGAGGCAAAACCCCCTCCGCTCCCACTCTGGTCCCCTTAATTTAACWATTTCAAACAAAAAACCTCTCCCTCAAAGGAAGTCTTCAAAGCAGCCAGGCAGGCAGGCTGGCAGGCAACCATTCTGATTTCTGAGAACTCTGCAGACCTTTGGAGACTCAGTTTTGCCAGACCTAAACTACATGAAACATTTCTGGCTTGCTTTAACTAAGAAGAAACTGTCCCAACATATCTGATCAATGATTTACACTGTAACTCACTAAGTCAGTTCAGTTACGTAGAAGTTTATTTAGCCTTGAAACTGTTCTGGAGAGCAATGCAACTGTCTCAGTTAATAAGGTACCTTTAGAATGATCAATTTACAAGAATTTGGCAGTGTTAATGGGCTCATTCCAGTGCATTTACTGAAACAGAAGCTTTAAGAAACTAGGCTGTAAACAATGGGATTTCGGTCTGAGCATGACACATTTCAGTAACTAAATCCAAAGGACTAAGGGTTTTTTGTTGTTGTTTGTTTTGGCTTTTTTTTTTTTTTTTTCTCAATTAGCAGCTCTTGGGATGATCAGATTAATTCTTTTTAGTTAACACAAAAAAAATTAATTTAAAGCAGTATTACTGTCTTAAAAGCACAAGGAATCTAATCCGAAAACATATTGTGACCCAGGCCTGGATCTAATCACTGGCTATTCCAAAGCCCTAAGAAGAAGGAAGAGGATTTTCATTCTGGGCCAGTCAGAAGCAAAGGCCTAACAGAAACTTACAGACAACCTCTACTGCAGAGGATGAGCATTACCCCACGGCTCTGATARCAGCAGCAGATAATGTGCAGGAGTTGGCTGTTAGATATTTGTGACTGTTCCCCTGTGTACAGGTATCTATTCAACTAGTAGCACAGGAGAAGGAGCCCAAACTTCATTCTCTACCAAAAACATTCATAAAGATGTAAGATCCACCRAAACAGACAAGAAAGTTTTCTATTCAGCAGACAAAATTATGGCAGCCTGAACACAGACACTCATAAACTTTAAGACAGGACATTTTCCTGTACCTTGATTATCATTAAATACATTAAGAGCCGGAGCAATTTCGGTAGCTTTCCACAAGCGTATAGTGCCGTCGGCGGAGCAGGACAGCAGGCGCTGGTGGGCTGCACTGTACACCAGACCCCACACGGCGTCCGTGTGCCCCACGAAGGCACCTCTGAGCACAGAGGGATCTGTGGAGAGAATGGCAACAATTCACGTGTCAGAACAAACCCTGAGGTACTTCAGCAGCTGCAGTCTGGACTATGTGGATGGACCGGCATTAACAAGCGAGCCCGTAAAGCGAACCCAGCAGATAGCCTGGTGTGAAGATGACTGAATTTCATCAGCATGTCTGGCTTCAATTTATCCGATTTGCAACTCACAGAACAAACCAAGTTTCAGCAAAAGGGACCACATCAAGTTAGTCAGCAAMATGGACTTCAACTTCAAAACCAAATCTCAAGCAGCTCTTAATGCCACAAGAGTCCCTTTCTCTACAAGTCACCTTTGAGGCCCAGCAGCTCTGAAGCAAGTTAAAAGTGCTTTAAAACACAGAGGCAAGGCCAACATCCCTTTGATTTGGAAAAGCTTGCTGAACTGGCAGTTTGTCAACAGTACTAACATCTTTGGTCTCACACTATACAATCTCTTTTTATCTCCCACGCACATCAATTTCTGAAAGAAAAGAACATTAAAATAGACATTTGCTGTACTTGCCAAAGCTTAGGGCCAGTACTTTTTCAACCCAGCTGTTTCTTAAAATTTGATGAGATGAAGGCCCTTTTTATGAAAGCATTAAGTTGACCTTCTCATCAACCACTATTAAAACAAAAATTTACTTCTGCTRCCTGAAACCAACATTCCATTTTCTCTCTAAATTTTCAAGGAAGAATTTCCTAGAAATTATAAATTTTTAGCCACACAACAGTGCCTAGATGTATCATTTCACTGATATGTCCAATGGCAACTTACCATAAGAGTCGTAGGGGTCGATGTTTGGGTTCGTTGTATTCCAGCCATGGATGAGGCCATCAGTTCCCCCACTGTAACACTGCTCACCACTGCTGCTCATCACCACACAAAGCACTGGTCCACTGGAATAAAACGCACAAAAACCAGATTGACTATTAATGTTTTCATTAATTAAATGAAAAAAAAGAGAAAAAATATAACTCAATCTTCATGTTTTCTTATCAAATACAATTCACTCACTACAATAAAAAGTCTGTGTATTTCAGATTATACAAGATCTCCCACAAAAAAAAATTCCAAGATCTCCCACAAAAAAAAAACTTCACAATATTCTGTAATGTAATTTACATTCAGAAGAATTTAATTAAGCACATGAAACATGAACAGTGTCACACCTATAAACACTTATAAAATAGAACCTTTGTTATTTTAAAAAGCTTTTCTCCCTTTCTGAAAATCTACAACTCTCGTGATAAGCGTTCAGCAGATTTGAATCCACTCAAAAGAACTTCATTGGATAGATGCATTTACTGAACAAATGGCAAGAGCTGAAATGACAAACAGAAAATCTGATGAAATTTGAACCATTTAATTTGTATTTTTGTTTTTTTTAAATGGTGATCTACCCAGGTCCAGATGTAAATAGTTACGCAGAAAGGAACTGAGCATATGCAGATATTTAAAATAAATAAAGCAGGAAGAGCACCACATGAAAACTACTGGCTGACATGCTGGAAACTACTGGAAAAAGAAGTGCCTGCTTAAAATCTTACTTTTCTTAAAATAGGAGAAGACAACATTCTTAGCAAATACTCACTTATGCGCTCTGAATGTATATATTGGCTCTACATCAAGAGAAGCACTCCTAAATGAAGCACAGGAAGACATTATTAACATGTATTTGACCTTACACAATGTTCCTAGAAGTACTTGATGAAAATGTGCCAAAATATCGCTACGTTCTCTCTAGCCAGCTCTTCTGAAAGGCCTCCCACAACTCTCTCTCTTCCATGCTTTTTCATGAAACTAGTAATTTTTTTGTGTTCTTTCAAAATGTAACATTTTTTTTTTTCCTTCTTCTTTAAAGACATTGAAAGTGAACACAAGCTGTACCTGAGACCTCCATCCTACTCCATCCTTGAACACCCAGTTTAGGTGCTCTTTGAGTAACAGCAGTCAATTGTGAGAAAGAAGTGAAGTGTCATCAGTACTTGCAGAAACATCATTAATAGCAATTAATTGCCTCTGGTAAGGAACAGGGAGCTTATGATCCAAAGCTACTAGTACCATGRCTACCAAAATTGTAATAAAGTCTCAAAAATCTTAATCTAAGCTTTACCAACCAGGGGCTGCCTATAAGGCCTGCATGAAGGCTATGTTTTATCCCTTCTCCCTAAAAAATGTGGTATACTCTCTTATTATAATAGCCCAGCTAAGGATATACTCCCCTTTCTGGAAGTCCCCAGCAAAACAAAGGACAGAGTGCACARGGGAACATGTCAGTCCATGACTGAATCTGTGTGTGGGCAGGCACGCCTGGGTGTGCACGTATAGACACACAAACTCAAATGTGGTCAGACGTGTTTTTCTGTATACTGTCTCCTGTGTGTCACATGTAGGCAAGCACACTAATCTAAAGCAGGCCCTGTCAAAATATTTCCATTAGTAAACTATCATGACATGTTAGCTACAAGAAAAATACAAAAGTGAATCATTTCTGTCTTTGAAAAAGTGCCTGTGAACTTGCATGGCTTTTTTCTTGGCACTCTTTAGAAGTCTCCATCSTTTTTTAACAGCTAGCTTCTGAACTCTTAAAGTCAAAGAACAATTGCTATTAACTCTAAGGAATGCTAGGAACAGCTGTATCTACAATACTATTTCCATAAATAATGAATAAAAATGTATTTTAGAAACAACGGAAACAAAAAGTCTTACTTTTTTGCTGGGGCTGTTTTTTGTAAATTCCACATTTTTAATGTATGGTCCTCTGAAGCTGTTATTAAGACTGGTTCAACTGGGTGAAAAGCAAGACCTCTTATTCCATCAAAGTGACTTCTTAAAGTGAATTTGGGGTTCCAAGTCTTTCTCAAGGCATCCTTATTGTTTGCTATCTGTTAAAAAAAATAATAATAATAATGTGGATGACACCAAGAAAGGCCAAAAGCATAATTTGGTTTCAGCATTTTCAAATGATAAATCACCTCACCCATTTTCCATAACAACCCTGTTCTGGAACAACAGTCCATTTGACCTTGATTAGCCGGTTCAAAATGGATATGGACATTCCACCAAAATAAATAAATAAATAAATAAAWACACACAAAACCCCACAGAGCTAACAAGCACACCTCCACAATAATTGACTCTATGAAAATCTGAAATACCCTGCATTTCTGTTAAGTTCGCTAATCTAAAAGCCGAAAAATAGCTTTCCTGACTGATACCATTCTAAACAAAGCTTGGGATTGAAGGCAAACTTCCTCCTACTGGTTCATTCATTAATACCAGGCCTCACTCAGCCAAGTTGAGTTCCATAAATGCCTGAAATATTATTGACATGGGAGTCTCTTGAGTAAAGATGCAAGAAAAATGCCTATCAGGGCAAAAAAGGAACGCAATCCTACCCATTCTCCTGAGGCAGCACAAGCTTGGGGATAATGCAGTAGACGAAAGTCTTGCCAGTAGAGAAAGTTACACACCCGAGATGTATAACTAGCAAATAATAAGCTATCACATATACAGAAGCAATTATTGGGCAATAACAGCATTTTTTAGAGAACTAAAAGAGAGACCTTAAGAAATAACAGTTATTTCAGCAGTGTTTCTTTAAACAAATAGCACATAAAACGTTGGGCAAACTTTTTAAGACTTTGTCAATCCTCACAGCCAAGGTTAATTTTACTGTGCCATAATCACTGCAAGTGGTCTATAAAATAAACATTATTATAACAACCAATTCAAATACTGATGATTTTATTACATTGAAAGCTCCAGATAACTCCAAATACTTTAGTATTTTAATACCACTAACCGCAATGTAGAGACAGCTGGTTTGAGCACCTCTGGAAATCTGTACTCTATTTTGGATATTTTTGCAAGGTACCAGAGGTTTAAAAGCACCTTTTCTTGTATTTTGTGACCCGTTTCCTTCCCTTAAAGCATTCTACATATTCAAACAGTAAGAAATGAAGCATAACCAGCAGCAGGCTCAGTCCCATCATACCTCTSAGCAACTACATAGTGTCTGCTCAGTTGGTCAGTTCAGTTTCTTTGCCAGTTTGCAGAGCTGCATTGGCTCAAGCTGGAGCTAGTGCAAGGGGCAGGCCTGTAAATCTGCAGCTCTGCCAGATTTTCTGGAGATTGGCCAAGAATGTMTCAGCAAAAAGGGCACAACATGTAAAGAGTAACCATACGGATCTGGACCAGAATTCAGTTGCCTCAGCATCTAATCTAACGTCAATTTAGGTTTCGGAGGGAATCCTACCTGGCCATGGCAGAAACACCGGGCTTGTKTCCTGTCTCTGAGACCCTCCAGCTACACCAGACATCCTAAGAGCATTCACCGATTTTGACAGGATAGTTTTCTCATTTTATTTCTCATCCATTCAAAAACGTATTTCCAAAGGTATCTCAGAGAATTGTTTTAAAAATTACTCAGAGAATTGTTTTGAAAACTAGAAGGAAGTTGGAGGACAGTGCCAGGTGACAAGCTGGGGARGAACAAAACAGCCAGACTCCTTTTTCTCTCTCCACCAAAACATCAGAGAGAGAAAGATTCAGAGTTCTGAAAATCAGTTAATTTGTTCATTTCCCAGGGTGAGGGAGAGGTTGCACCCAAAGTTAACATCTGAACTGGTGGTATTAGGATTTGACAGTCATAGCAATACTGTCTGCAGGTGTTTTACCCTGTATTATATAAACAACTTGGAAATTCCCGAAAAGCCATGATACATGATACACAACATTATGGATACTTTTGTTGATCAAAGCTGCAGGCAAACAAGCAAGTGCCTACTGCAACCTCCACACCAAAATTCCAAGAAAAGGCACACAAAGCAGGAAAAAAATCTTTTTTAAGTAATACCTTAATAATCTACACTAATCAAAACCTTTCTTTAAGTTAAAGACTGCCCAAGCAACATTTTAAATATATGAACTATGAAATGAAATAGGCTAATACGCCCATTCTGTGGGAGAAAGCCACCCACATAAAAATTAACTGGGTTGAAAAGGTTTCAAGTAAGAAAGTATCTGCAAGAAAGTGTCTACAACTTTTAAGAACACATAATTGATCCAAATGAAATACTTTCATCATCATTTTCTAGAATCAAACWTAAAAGAAACCCTCCTAAATACCTGATTCACATTTGACATCTGAAAAAGGTATCAAGCACTCCCGAGTGCATACAGACTGTATGACTTCTAAGCTAAATTTCCAGTGGATTTTGAAGTGGAAAAAAACAATCATTTCCATGTATCATGGAAGCAGAATAATCATTTATTCTTCTGCCATAAAGATTACAGCAACAAGACAGAGGAGCTTACCAAACAAGAATTTTTAAAGTTGTCAACACTAGAAAAGATAAGGAGTACAGAAAGATTGACTCTGAAATCCTGATCACAGTGATTGGATTTATAAAGGCATTTTATCAGTGAATAAACAGCAGTTAATATTCCCATCCACAGAGGAAGAGATGGGGAGGATGGAAGGGGCATAAAGAAATGCTAGTTGACATAAATGAAAGCTGTTCCTTCAAGATGTGCAGAGATGGACAAATAACACTGCAGATTTTATGGAGACGAGAAGTCAACTGACAGAAGCAGTGAGATTTTCTACAGATGAATTAGGTTTGTCATCATCGCTAAATTTAAAAATTCAGCCAAAATTTCACATGCCACTGGAGAAGCCGAACTTGTGCATCACCTTTTTGGAGACAGTGTTTGGTGTGACCAACAACAACAAAAACATCATGCTAAGCACAAACTAGGAGATAAAATTAAGATACTGAATTTAAAATCAGGAATGTTCATTGTAATTGTGATGCTCCACAACAAGCCACACATATAGCTGYGCAGTGTCGCTCATAGACTGTATGTAAAGAGTATCAGCTGTGCAATATATGCCTCTACAAGTACGTTCAAGGGTAGAGATTCTTCAGAGTAAGAACCTGCATGTTATTTTTGAAGTCTTGGATTTGATTTATGAAGGTAAATTCCAGACAGTGACTACATAGACAGAGTCTTGTTGCTGAAGGATTATATTACTTTCCAACATGAAGTACTCAGTCATTTCTGAATTGCCTCAGCTTCGACAGAGCCCCACTCAATGGTAGGGCTCATCTGAACTTCCTGGATTATAAAGGGAAAACTGACTAAAGTAACATTCAAAGTATCTTTTCGCCAGACCACTSAAATTGCATAGAGCTACAAAGAAGCAATTTGAAGAAAATGTTCCACGAAAAGTGAAATAGAAGGTAGTGATATGTATATTAACTTATGAGTGCTGTGCTGCGCACACAGCCATAGGAGTGCTGGCCGCCTCCTCGAAGACAACCAGTTCAGCCTCCCACTTGAAATCAAACCAGCATCACCACCACCAGCTGAAGCCAGACGTAGCTTTCCTAGCCAAGTCTCAAACACCTTCAAGGACAAAGAACTGTACATGCTCCCTAGCTAACCTGCTTCAGTGCCACACCACTCTCTTATACAGTATTTCTCCATAATGCCCAAACCAGGCTGGCCTCCAAAGCCACAACTTATGACTGTTGCCCCTTGCTGTATTGCCTCACRCTACCAGGAGGCTTGACTCTGTGTCATCTCTGTAAAAGCCCTTTTCCAATGCTTACAGGCGGCTATTCCAGCACCTCTTAGCCYCCATCAGAGTGAGAAAATCAAGTTCTCCCAACTTCTTCTGTTTTTCCATAGCCTTCTTGAAAAGGAGAGGCCCAAAACTGGATGTAARTACAGCCTCACAAGCAGGGAAGGCATCAACTTCCTTCACGCTGCTGGCCGTGCTACTCCTGGTGTGTAGCCCATCTCTATCACCGCGTATAGAGCGTCCCTGTATCACTATCACCAATTACAGCCACTTTCAGCTTTCAACTACTTGAATGAAATAGCATGTGAAGGACTGTAGGAGGGAGGCTTGAAGACAGCTTGAAGGCTGCTGCATAGGGAGAACACAGATATTTCAAGAAAAACTCGTGGTATCATTTGGCAGCATAATTTTAAACATGAGAAATTTTTCTGCTGAGTCTCCATGGATGTAACTGCCATCTGCGTTGGGCACGAAGAGACGGTAGGACCCCGAGTTACTATTAACAACCACTTACATCGTACGTCAGTGAATCTGCCTCATTGGCTACTGTAAGGCCTGCGAGCTCTCCAAGACCCAGCTCATTCTCAAGGGCTTCATCTGTTCCCATAATGAAAGATTTTCCTGAAGAAGGAGGGAATGTTAATGCTTCCACTGCAAGAAAAGAAACAAAAAAAAGAAAAGAAACAAAACAAAAGAAAAACACAGATTTATACAATGTTGATAAACAAAAGCGTATTACCTACTTTCCAAAATACTAAACACTCTCTCAAGTAGCTGTGGAGAAAAAAAAAAAATGAAAGGAAGCAGAAAAAAAAAAAAAAGACTTTCTAAAGGTAACCACCCTGCTTCCCAAGAAATGGTGCCCTCTGAACATATTTGCATCAGAATTCTGCATAATTCAGGACAATAAGCACAAATAGCCACAGGAGTGTGCTATCATTCACACATGCACAATGCAAAAATAACACTGAAAGAACTCACATTCTTCCCCAGCTCTCCTTCAAAATACACGAGACATTGAAACAGCAGCAAAAAAGGTATACAAGAATAGCTAGGAGGAGCAAAACACAGAGGATGTCTTAAGAAAAAAAAAAAAAAAAAAAAAGAGACCTTTTCTTTATTAAATGCTGCACATATGTGTACCCCAAAGCATGCCTACTGTAAGTTTTGTTAGCATGCCCTCCAACGTAGCAATATGACTGGAAGCAGAGAATCCATTGCTGCTTCCAACATCAGTTCAACTACCCCGTAGGTTAGTGAGCACTGAATTCCATGTTTTGTTATTAGCAGCACCAAAGCTTACCAGCTTGCAGGTGCTACACAGCATGCTTATAGAAGCACCTGTCTCTGCAATAACAGCAGATTCACTGCAGCTGGAAGGCCACAACACTACATCAGGGGGCAGAGTTCATACACTGTTTGATGCAGYGTCTCCTTGAGCAATGCAGCTGGGAAGAACTGTGCCATTCCCAACTAATGGCTACTGCAACTCTCCAAGAGGATAGCCACATATCTCAAAAGATGAGCTGAACACACAAAAACGTGTTATCTTGGGCATGGCAGATCCTACTTGATTTTATACACTTGTAAAGTTGTAACCATTTTTCAACAACTTGCAATTTATCTTTTCCTTTTAGTTTCATTGCAGACACAAACCCTTTGCAAATACTGTTGCTGCCAGGTAGAGAGGAAACACCATCTCATTCTCAAAATGTTTAATTTAATGGCATAAACACTAAGCTTAGACAAAACAAACTACAGCTTGCAATGAATAGCCTGATCTATTCAGGCTTCTTGCTCCTCTTTCTTAGTGCTTTGGATTTAGGATGTTACCCAGTTCCTCTCTAGTTCATAGAGTGCTCTCTAGCTTATGGGGTAAGCTCATGCTCAAGGTCTTTCCATTCCTCACTCAAACCTCTCTAAAATGCCCTGTTTTCTCCCTGTTACCTTTCACAAACAAGTTAAAGGTTCTCATGACGCCCTTCAAAGCTCTGCCGCTTGGTTAGTTCTCAAGTGAAAAGCAGGTGATTAGGTGCTAATCACAGACATCTCTTCACACCCTGACGGTATAAACTACTGGTCTCTCTCTCTGCAATGCTCTATTCAACACAATATATATGGCACTGCTGTTAGTGCTACCAGCAAATTGCTGTATTCTGAGGAATTTAACATCAAATTAGAAATGCCAGTAGGATAACAAGATTTGGATGCCAAAAATATCAGAAGGTCTCAGATTTATAAAGGGATACGCAACTAGCAGCTTGTAATACTGAACGCAGCCTAATAAAAACCTAACTGTCCTCCTTTGTTTTTCTGCAAGTCCATTTGAGTCTGTGAGTTAAAAACACACACTTGAAAGGCCATGAAAATAAAGCTCTGCCATTAYGGCTCCTACCACATGTGAAAAAAGTTGGAAAGCAAACACTCACCAAAAAATTCCTTCACTTTTCTAAGTGTTGCTAAGTTACCCCATCCTTTCATAAACAAAATCACAGAGCATGTAGGAAGCAGAACAACTGAGATCTTTACTAACTGTGCCACATGCCAGGGTTTTTTTTTGTGCATCTTAATTATTTTTGGCAGACCTACTTTTTTCACACTCACTGAAAGACTGCTAAYGCACCACTGTGTTTTGCTCATTCTTCTAATGACATATTTACCATTCAAATAAAAAGTGTATGATACAGTCTTTTACAAAGTAATATAYCCTAATATGCTAATTTTATTATACTACATGTTATGGCATGTAAAAAGGTTATCAGATATATGAAAGAGCAACTYAGAGGTAATGTTAATGAAGGCAAGGGAGCACATGCCACACTTGAGACACAGCACTGTAAAGATGGACAGTTTCCATATTTGAACTTAGCTACTTTGAGAATATTTGGAACAGATTGGGGAAATAAACAGATTRGCAAATGGTATATATTCTTTTGTAAGATCCTGGATAGAGTCTCCATATGCAATTACAAGCTAGGTTTACTTTAAGAGATTCTTCATCTTTAGCATATTAAAAAAAACATATACATACACCTGCCTATTCCTATAGACATTCACACGCATAAAGCTGTATATAAGCACAAATTGTATTACATGCATGGAGAGGAAAGCAAATGCTTTAATGTCCTGAGAGATTATGCTCCACACCTGACTCTGGCACACCTGAGCATGAACACAGGCAAGCAAATTAAGATCTCCATATTCTAAAGCCACCGAGCCTGAGCAAGTCTTTCCTGCTGCCTCAAACACACTCAGTCAAAGCTCTGCCTAGGTGTCTTTTCTTTCCCAGTATGGGACTGGCGGAGAGAAATGGGAATGTTGTTTATCCCATTTAGGTAACAGATAACAATCAGCATTTGCAAAGTGCTGTGGAAGTCTTAGAGGAAATTCTTTAAGCAGCTGCAGCTATAAAMATCTAAACTTTCAAAGGGCGGAGGTCCATTTTTGAATACTTGCCTTCATCTGTCCTGTTTATCTCGTGTTCAATGAGCCTTGAGCTACTGGGTCTGGAAGGGGGTGTAACAGATGGCTGTAATGAAGGGAGATCATCAACATCTCTCAAGTTTGCAAGCATATCTTGCAGCTTTGACCTGTTGGGTCCTAGCCAGAGAGACAAAAAGTGAAATGGTTTATGCATAATTCAAAACAATTCTACTTCTCACATTAAATATGCTACAACAGCACATGCAACAATGGATCCTTCCTTGTAGTATAAGGTTACCACAGAAAAACTAGTGAGCACCTACTTTTGGTAGTAACTAATCATACAGCATGAAATGAATTTCTGGAAAAAGAAAGTGATGGAAGCAACTGAGAATTGTGAATATACAGTTTTCCCCACATTTAWAACCTCATACTGCTATTTGCATGGAAAGCTGAAGAATGTCTCCAATCGAGTCATGGTACTAACATGATTATTAAAATATTTACTTTTCCAATCAAGTGCAAATATTTGTGAATGTTTTTAAATTTGTGTATCAGATACTTTGTGAAGCACTTTTATAACAACATGATGATTTTAAATTTATTTGTGCAGTTGCGTTGTATCGTGGAACTACATAATCTAAAAAAAAAAATGATAGTTATTTTAATTGGATTCATTGGCCTATTTCCTGAAGCTACGTATGGTGAAGACCCATGCCCTTCTCGACACTTACCTGTACTTTGCTCCATCACTTTCCCACATCCCTGTTTTGACTGTTTTATATAGGACTGAGGCTGAAACATATCTTCGGTAGTTTTTCCTGTTGTAAGTTTAATTAAGAATGGGAAAATGTCTTACCCATAGTCTGTTATGGTTTTTCCTAGACCAGTAAATAATACAGCTATTTTCAAGCAGTATACACTTCTGTCTTAAAACTAGCATCTGTATGCTCTTATGAAACTACTTCACAGGTGTGTTTACTACAGCCTTGCAAAATCATAAGTTTACTAATGCAGTTGCAAACTCTGCTTTGTCCACCCTAACCATAATAATGGTTAATAAACTAAATAGTATTTAACTTGTCTGCCAGAAAATATTACTTGATTGAGGAAAGCAGTAAGATTTTGCAAGATTGTTTTACTACAATATCTGCTTTATATAAAACACAGCATTTTATTTAATAGCAGTTCAGTGTCTAAACACCATTTAKGATCATATTAAAATCATAAAAACATACTTTGTACCATGTAATGTCACAATATTTAGTCCCTTCTTTTTTTCCCCAGACTTCCTTCCTTCTTCACTATGTGCAATATCATGAATAAGTGATACAAGATTGTGATTCATCCTGATTTTTCTGCACTGATGCCCTTCCAACGATGGTTTGTCCATGGAAAGATGCTTAATTTCTGTGCTATGGTAAAGATTTGGTGTCTCAAGATCAAACCTCCATGCAAAACGTACTCTAGATGTGCTGAGTAGCATTTATCTTCATAAAAGAACACCAGATGTCTAATGTTGCCTTACATCAGGTATTTCTCCTCATAAATATTTGATAAAAGATCCAATAGTATCTAGGTCTCTATTAACAATTAAATATTAACTTTATTATCAAAGATAAAGTGCACACAATAGCTCTCCAATAGTWTCATTTCAATAACTTGATTAAAGTATTTCTGCTAAATTAATTCCATWGCTATATACCCTGGCACTACACAGCCCATCACATACTTTAAAAATCACAGACAAGAAATTATAGAAGTAGTTTGTATTGAAGCCATATAGTGATAGGCCCTCTCTATCTTAACCATAAAGGAATTTAGAACTGATTTTGTGAAACATTAACACTCTTGTTGACCAGCTCATCTTCTCATCAGACTTGTAACATCTTCAAGTAACTTAAATGATTCCAAAGATGACAAAAATATTGCACTTATCACTTGAAGAATTTCACTAAGCTACATAACAATTTACTTTTTTTWAAAAAAATGGAGGTTTAGTTTGTGTATTTGATACTGTAATTTCAGGAACATAACCAACAGCTGAGCAGTAGGTTATCATATTTGGCATCAATCAAATACAAAATAAATCAGCCTCAATCAGTGATGTGAGGAACTGACATTTTGGGGATTGGTCTGTATGCCTCTTTGCAAGGGAGGATTTCCTTGGTGATAATAAGCATCTTCCCACAAGGGGAGAAATACCCCTCAAAATGTACTGAGCTACATGCAGCATTTTTGAATTACATCATTCACACATGAAATCTCAGTATGAGTAAATGTTTGAAGTATAGTTGTGAAACAGTTTCATTTTAAACACCGAGCTCAGGAAGGTTTTAAGGCTTACTTAATCGAAAACATTGCTTTTACAAAATGGATTTATGTTTCAAGAAACAAACAAAAAAAAATCTAATACAGGGCTAGAAACTGTATTTCAAATACTGATCATAGCTGTTTTGTTTGGATAAAAATACCCAGCATTTTTAAAGATTGATCCCACACATAAGAAAGCTGATAAATAAATCCTGTGATTATTTACAAATTAACTGATGATCAGAGTTACTTCCTATTTCGAGCCCTGCATAGGGAATTATGATGACAGCATGACTTCCATGTTGTGAATGTTAAGTATAAACAGGGGTAGAAATTAACCTGTTTTCTCCCTCTGTCATCTGATACTCAAGAMAGTTTCTGTTTTATTTTTTTTTCTTTTAATTTACATATCAGGCTTCAAAAGGCCTCCCATGAAACTCACGTGTTTTCACTACGTTATGGTTCTGAAATTCTCTAAGTGAAAATGTGGAATAGAAGTATTAAACCAATGCATTATACATAATAAAAGCACTAGTCACGTTCAAAGCAATCGTTTTGAATTGAACCAACACCCAGTTGGAAGAAGTTTTATCTAATTCAACTATTTATCAGGTAACTTGATTGACTATCATTAATTTCAACCCCTGAGAACTGGTGAAGAGGAAAGCAGTCAGGAGCAGCAAAGTAAAAGAGTAAGTAATTTTAGGAAAACATTGAAAGAGAGATAGAATTAAGGGTGTGAAAGACGTGGGATTTATGATTTTAAGGTGCAATGTTTTCCACTTACTCTTCACCCCCTTTTTCCCCTTGCGCTCCTTTTTGTATTGTTCCTTGAGCTTGGTTATTACTCCCTGGTCCACATTCCACGCTTCAGGCATGAGACACTGGTCTTCCTTTTCTAAACAAAGTGAAACAAACGAAACATCCTTTTTCAATAATGTCACCATGTGATCTCCACTGAAGGAGGCAACAGCTGCTGTCAATGGCATTTGTCTTTTATTTTAAGCAGACAGAAATAGCACCAAGCTCGTGAAAGCTCTAAAATCTCTACTCGCATTYCACTTGCATTTGCTTAGAGTTTTCCTAAAATGAGTTTTTGAAATTAAATTTCTCACATCTAGTCTCTATAAGCAAATACGTATCAGCTCACAAATTTAAGCAACATTTATTTTACAAGAAAGCAGGAAATATTACTCAGCATTTTCTTTCCTTTAGAGAACAAATTGTATCTAAAAGTAACATTTACGTTATTGGTCAACCTAGCTTTACAATATGGGTGCTCTGGCACTATATTTGAAATTTTGATTTCATTGTCTTTGTGATAAGTCATTTATAAAGAAGCAGCATATTTAATAACTTCTAAACATACTACACATTTCACAAAGCTTTGAATAAAATTTTAAAGCATTAAAGCCATGAAATTTCACAAAAGGGGTGAAAGTCTGAGTTGCTATTCTTTGCAAAAACACACTAAACCTGACAACGTGCCTARTCACATGGACAAAAGATCTAGATTAAAATATCTATCTATCTGTATATATATATTTTGTGAATATATTTAATTTGCTTCCCTTGCACCATGCCATAGACAAGAAGTTTCTTCCAAGAAAACAGTATTGAGCGATTTTTGAACACAGAGTGCTACTGAAATTCAACTTGCCAATATATTTTCTCCGTATATTGAAAGACTACATCCAGTATCAAACTTCCTATATGGGGGAACCTTATATGTATAATTGTAATTATATGATATTGACCTAGCAAGGCCAGTAATGGGCCACTAAAAGTTAAAAAGGCTGGGGGAGATGATGTACATGGAGAGGCTGAGAACTGTGTCTGCTCAGCCTTAAGACGCAATGGCACAAAAGAGACCTTGCTGCTGTCTGTGACTGATCCATTGGAAGAGGGCCCCAGAAGGTTGCAAATTCTCCATTCTTGAAGACAGATACTCAAAACTTGATAAGAACAAAGCCCCGAGCAACCTGCTCTAAATGGACTGCTTAAGCAGGAAACTGGACTGGGTGAATATCCCTTTGAATCTTGTAGTTACRGTATATGATCCTATATTCATGTGTGATAAATTAATTCAAGATGTAAAGTCCTGAAGCATTCTTTCAGTAGCTRTTAAAGAAGAGATAGATCAATAAACTGAAAAGAAATAGTCTGTGGCCTAAGTCATGTCCTCTTAATATACATGTCCAATTAATTATCAGTAATGATCAAACAYTGTGGGATGAGAAATTCAAGAAGTTCATGTTTGAGGGGGAAAAAAACAATTGTTTCAAAGACCACATTAAAAGTTCTTATCATGTTTTTCCTTCCCTAAAAGTTSAGATGTTTTGCTTCCTCCAACAACAACAAAATTAGATTTATATTAGGTAAAGCTGTTGTTAGAAAACTACCCATAGCTTAATTTACTACAGAATGTCCCAGGATACTCCCTTCAAGTCCCACAGGTTCTATTCAATTTCACAACGTGGGTCTTGAACTCTCGCAAATGGACTTTATAGTCAAAAAGCAACTGAACTCTTTTGAGTATCTTTGGAATCAAATGCAAGCTACAGACTACTACAATCAATCAATACTGCTTAGAATCAAAAATGAAGAACTTTCTCTGTTAGCTTTTAGCCTCAATAGACAATATTGCTCTCTCCTATGCTACAGACAACAGTTTTGCTTACATCAAATTGACATAAGTGACTCATAATGCCAGTTGCTTGAAGAAGATTATTTTCACAGAGCGCTATCATTAAAGACACAGGTTATGAAATAAAAATAATTTAAAAACATCAATTGTTATAATTCAGAAAGAAGTCTTAGTATTTCTAGAAACAAAACCACTGTTTTCCATGACAGCACCATTTTAATGTTAGACCTTCACTGATTTGGACTCGGCTGTCAATGAAAGTAAAAATAACTTGGACGTGTGAATTTATGTGAGAACAAAAAGCTCCTGTTGCCATACTAACGTTTCAGTAATACGAGCAATAGCTGCACTTGCCAAGAATGAACTGATCAAGCTTTAAACAGAAGAAATACTAGAACTTAAAAATATATTATATAAATATATATATAAAATATATAATTTTACTTAGGAGTAACATTCCTAAATGCATCTGGGGAATGGAACACTGACTGCTATATCTGAAGACATTGAGATTTTAGCTTCTTAAATAGAAAGGCTACATGACATTGAACAATAATTTCAGGTCCACTTCACTGATAATTTCAGAAAAATACAGAACCTCAGAGCTGTTAACCCACCTGAGCATCACAGCTATCATGACTAATTTGTCTGCCAAGGTTTCAGTTTCATTGTAAATGCTAATTACTTCCCATTCATCTTCCATAGCCCCCTCTGTGCTCCCTTACAGGTAAGACTTTCTAGAGCAGCTTAAGGAGGAATCAACTTGCCATCAAAAAATTTAACTACAGTTTTCTTCCTTCTTCCCTTCCCTATACAGCAAGCTGATGCAAAGAAGTTAGGTCAAGGTAAGGTGGATTCTGGCAACCTAGAATGTAGCACATTAACCTCAAAGACACAGAAATTTCCCAAATTGTTCTTTTTGGCTAGAGGACTTAAAATATATACGTACCTTTGCTAAATTASAAAAGAAAATCTGAGCAACACTATAGATTATACTGCCCAAGCTGCTAACATAAGAATAGAGTACAACTAATTCAGTCTTTATGASTCACATTACTCTCTGTATCAAAGTGGGAGGAAGCAGAAGGATGAAATATCTTTCATGCTCGTAATTATAAAATATAGCTTGATCAGAGTCCTTCCTTAGCATGAATCACTGAAGAAAAACCCTCTAATTCTACTCATAAAATTCAATTTTATATTCTTCATTAAAAAAGACAGAAAAGGCAAAATGAGTAAAGCACAAACCTTAGAATTTTTGCATAAAAAGATAGCATACAGAAAAACGAGGATATTACGCCAAGAGGATCTCAGTCTATCRATGAAGGATTTACTGTAGGGATACTCAAAAGGTGCTGCCAACTTGACAAACGACAWTCAGTCAGCTCTGAGCTTAGCACATTTTTTTTTCCTGGCACAGTCCATTATATGGCCTTACCCCAGTCTGTTCCATCTCCTGAACTTCTTGATTCTCCATCACCTTCATCTGAGGTAACCAAAAAGTCAAACTCTTTCAAAGCTTCTTCTGTATCTCTGTCTTCACTGCTGTCAGACAGCACTCTTTTCCTCACAATCTGAAAAGGTCAGGGAGGGAGGGGGAAAAGTTCAATTAAACTAAAAGCACATCTTTATACCTAGTGGTATTATCTCCTCTCTTACACAAAATTCTAACAGGAAGTTGAGGAAGCAGAAAAAGTATATATTAATATGCAAAAATAGAATATACACAGAGATTTTGTTCAAAGTCCAAATGAAATCACCTGTAGAGTTTTATTCCTCTAACAGAATCACAGAATACCTGAGGTTGGCAGGTAGCTCTGGAAACTATCTGGTCCAAACCTCCCTGCTCAAGCAGGCTCAACTAGAGCAGGTTGCCTAATATAGTGTCCAGACAGGCTTTGAGTATCTCCAAGGACAAAGATGCCAGAATCCTTCTGGGCAATCTCCTTCAGTGTTGAAGCACCTTCATAGTGAAGAAGTATTTTCTTATGGTCAGCTAGAAAGTGCTGTTCAGCTAGAATTCCTGCAGCATTTTCACTTTCTGCCCATTGCTTCTCACCCTGTTGCCACGGAGAACCATCAACAATATATCAACAGTGTATCTACACTGATACAGCCTACTAGTCTTTTAAATCCAGTAAAAGTCTCTTTTAATGCATTTTTGGAAATATATATAATGTTTTTGAATGACTTGTGCAAAGCAAATTAGCTCTCTGAAAAGAGCCTTTTAAACTTTCATTCTGACATTACTCCATTGAATAGGCCAAGRTGACACAAACGCACATCACATCGCCAAGTGCAGATTTGCTCAGAATTTGAAAAGATCATTTCATCCCAAACACTTTCTCAGACCTTACCATTATTTAAATACACTGGTTCCACGTTTGAACTGCTTAATCTTTACTAATTCAAAAGTTAACTTGGTAGTTGATTAAAAAAGAAATATTTTGACGAAGGACCTAACAGTATCCTCATTTTGTCTTTCCTTAATAATCACAATAGACTGGCTGCCTTATGGTAAATTAATACATSAAGTGATGCCATTGAAATCTGCAGCAAATTTTTTCTCTCCAAGAAAGAATAAAATTACATTCACCATCGTACTTTGATTTGGCAACTTGATAAGGGTCAGTCCCACAAGAGTTCAATATGTGGACAATATATCCCACAGCTCATGAAGAGAACTGGCTGTTTCCTCTAAATACACAGGACCAATTTCAAGACCTGAAACAATACTAATTAAGCTTGATTGCTTTAGCTGGCATATTGAATATATGAGATGCTTTTACAGAGAAGTTCTTGGACATTAGCTTGCAATCCATGCATGGGTTCTCTAAAATAGATCACAACAACTCAGGATGCCAGTTTCAATTTTTAAGATACGTAACACAGTGAATAAATACTATTTTTGAAAAGAAGAGAATAAAAACATATACTGATAGTATGCACCTATTATATTTCATCAGGTTATATGACCAAGTTACATTACAAATTATAAATCATGGAGGAGTTTTAGACCTTTGACCAAACATTCAAAAAAGAATTGATTACATGTTGGTATTTTTATTATTATACTTTTCTTCCTTTCACAAGCCATTTAAAGAGAAATCTGGTATTTCAGTTCTAGACTCTGCAGGGAGAAATTCCTACAAGTAACTAAGTATTCAGTTTTATATATATATAAACATTCAAGAAATAATACATTTCAATATATATTACATACATAATACCCTCAAACTACACTGAAAATTGTAAAAAATGACACTTTCTGACTTAAAAACTGTATATGGCATATATCAAAAACTGCTATTAAAACGTTCTTAATCTATCACTGTAAACTTTAAAAATCTAATATAGGTGAGCAAGCTCAGCTTGTATGCACAAATCCAGAAATGCACATGTAACTGTTCTTAGGCACACATGCTTGGATAGACCATGCTTAAAAGATGCATTATCGATTTGCATCTGTACATACACAGTTATAAACTTGGCAAATCTTATTAATTTCATACTTTTCCTGTTCTTCACAACTTTTTCAATTATTTTTTCCACTCACTGTTGAGGTATCAATGATTGTTTTCTCTCTTCCTTCAATATCTTCTTCGTCTTCTTCATCACTGAAGTCTGCAGCTGCATTTTCAAGAAACTTGAAGGTCTCTAGCAGAGAGGCAGAGTCGGTCAAATCTGGTTTCCTAAACAACAAGAACAACAACCACCATCACAAGTCAGAAGAAGTCAGAAAGAAGACACTTTTGCATTTGCAGTCTGTTCCATTTTATAATATCGAAAAACACATGAGATTAAAGTAGGCCTACAGGCAAAAATGGATTATGAGAGGTAACAAAGGTTGTTATCCATAAGCTACCTTACCACAAACAGCAACTTAGCGTCATACATCTGCAATTTCCAGCACAGGCACTTAAATTTCTGATGCAATTTTAAAGCACTATCTGTCTGATATTTGCCCCAGAGCAATATCAGTGTTGATATATCTGCATTGGAAGTTGCAGCAGCAAGGACATCAGTTACATCTTCTAGTTGGCCTCCCTCATGTTTCAGGATAGAGCAAGATTTTGCTTCTGCTACCTGCAATATTCCCCACTCTGCTGGGAAACACTGGCCTCTAGACCTCTCCTTCATCAACTTTTGTAGAATTTGCTACTATAAAACTATAAAATGGAAATATCCCATAAGTAACTCAATAATGTTTAAGGCGATAGGAGATGTTAACATTAAAGGAGTAAACCTTGAGTAAAGTCATGACTGTCAGCACTGGCAGAAAATCAGGCAGTGCCTCAGGGGTAGGAACCACAAGGGTTGTCACATTAACAACCAAAGAAGAATCCAAGAAGTGGGATTAGAACCATTAGTCAAGAAACTAATGATGAATGTATCATTAACACAATCCTAAAATCAATATCAGGTAGATGCTTTCTATACATAAGACACACCACTAATTCCTCAAAGTTCTAGTTGTGTTTTTATTCCAATAAGGACTTCAGGAAAACCTGAATCTACATTCTTTATAAGCATTTAACATAGTTTTAAAAGATGACAGACTTCACAGTAAAGTTTTCTTACCTTTAATCAGTGGTCTGTTTCTCACAGCTCATGACTAAATTCCCGTCATCTTGATTTTCACAACCACCGAGAACACAGAAGTCTCTCTTTCCACAACTGCAGTTCTAACTGTTTTTGTCCAGTCCTCCTTACCTGGTAACTACCAGGRGCCTCTCTACATTCCCCTTTAGCTAAATCCATTCCATAATGGCCTGTTCGGTCAACAAGACCACAWGGTAACAGGAGGTAACAGGAGGTCTTAACAGCTCCCTGCTGTAGGGTGAACATCCAACTATCCGTCCTGTGCCACTGACCCCAGCATTCCTTCCTATTTAGGGGAAACACTAAAGGGAAAAGCTGTGATGCACAGCCAGGTGTGGTATCCAGGATATCTGTCCTCCTGCCCTTTTTTCCATTCATCTGTTCATGGAATAAAATATCCAGGAGGATCTCATTTTTCCATTTGAAATTCCAGATACGCAGCAGTTCTGGGCCGTGAGCACAATGTAGCATGAGGTACTGTGGTCTTTCTCAGTCACCACTTTTACCGAGATTCTTCCTTTCAGTTTCCATCTCTTACCTTAGAYGACAGTAATCTCAAGCATATTTTCAATTTGCCTTGCTTCTTGCAATATTTTACCCCTCCTGTTTCTAGGACATATCTGAAATAATGCCATAATAGTGTTTGTTCTCTTCTCCCTTACATAATGACTACATCGGCAGACTGCAAAACCTGAMGAATCTGTAGCAATAATGTACATTTTCACAAAAATCCTACGGGACTGTTATTCTGCTGCTTCCAACTAAGCTTGTCCTGTGCTTCACTTAACTAAGGTATTGATTTTTAACAGACTGCTTGTGTCCTAGTCAACATTGAGTAGATTGAAMCGTCCTTCTGCAACTGTATGTGATTTTCTCCTGTGTATTTTGCTGTTATTTAGAAATTTGCCATTTAAGAATGTCATGGTTGTTATTCCCCTCAGGCAACGATCACAGACATACTACAGTAAACAGCTATATACCAATTAATAACAAATGTAGAACAAAGTTTTAATTTAGAGAACTTGCTGTTAAGAACCAAATATCTATTTACAGGTCCCTAGTATTTGCAACAGTTCATACCCAGATTACTTAGATTCTATATTCCTTTGATTTTACCTCAGGCTCTCATAACAAAGTTCAAAGCAACTACCAGAAAAAGTGGTATCTTCTYTAAGTGACTATAACTATCACATACTTCAGCGCACAGGATATATACTCAATTTTGTGTACCTCCTTTCACAGAGGAGGGACAGAGGAAGGTATCTTACRTACAGGAAACACAGAGGCTAATCACATATTTCAAAACTCCTGCACAGAACAAAAATGTACCCAGTCAGCACAGTACCATAAAAGGTTTCTTCGAAGAAAGCTCAGGGGAACAAAAAAGAAATCAGAAGAGTCAGAACATCTGAGCCATTTAAAGGTTCCGTAGATAAAAGGAGCTTCAAGCTCACAGGCTGATTACCTGTATCACCTGTATTAACCCTGTATTACCTGTATTAACAGTCTACCAACTGGAACTCATAATGCTCTATCTACAGTATTTTTCATTCTTTAGTGGTACACAACACATTTCTGATACTACTGTCAAAAGAAACACTTAAGAATATGGTAAAAATGTATCACAGAAAATGCCTAGACTTGATCTCTGTTAGGTCTGTGACTGTGGGACGAAGCTTCCTGGGGCACCATCTTTCAGCTCTTACATTTACTTCTCTTACAGAGTCATTCATGATGCAACTAAAGAATGCAAAAATGGCAAAAACWTTCATATAGATAAGGCAGTGTAATGAACTACTTTATAACATAATTTAGAAAAACAAAAGCAAACAAGCAAACAAAAAAACAGTTTCAGTGCTCTTACAACATAGAATACTTAAAAATTTGTAATAGTAATAATGGTTCAAAGAACCTGGGGGAAGGTCAAAGCAGGAACTGGTGTGGGAACTGTCATATTACAGGCACGAGTGGTGCAAGACTACGGCAAGATACAGGAAGGGCTGCAAATACAGGGGGACAGCACAGCCCCAAGGCCCAAATCTACGTAGGKGACAGCATCATTTCCATGGTGCATGGACCTTGGCAGTGCTTCTTCCCCAGCTATACTGTGAAAAGAAAGACTAGGGGGAGAAGGAGCCAAAAAGGCCRGACAGCAGGAACAGCTGGAGAAGCTGCCAAAGCAGCGACCCCGAAACAGCCCTATTTGTGCCGGATTCCCTCCACCCTGTGCTCATCAGCAACTTGTTCGGAATCTCTGCTCCAGCAGCTCCTCACGCTTAGCTCCCCTGGAGCAATATAAGCCTCCTGAAGTCACAGCAGTATTATTCTCCTCAGAAGCATGAGGTTGCCAGAATTTTCTACAGCTATAAATGCTCTGAAAAAAAAACTCATTTTAAATTTTTATCTTATCGAGSTCCAATTATTCAGTTTTGACTTCTTGGCCCCTCTAGGATTAAAAATAATCTTAATCTCTTCCCATGAAATCAAAAAAATACAGTTTCTACATATTCTACATACACTGTTTATAGTATTCATGCATCTTACTGGCCCATGCATCCAACTCTTTTTGCCCTGCAGTCACGGCTCAAGACAAAGTATTCCGCATTAAATACAGTCGACTGACATCTWAATATTTCATAACATTTCATATTAGGAGCTTAACATAAATCTCAGTTTTGACTTCATGAAAAGTAATATATTCACTTTTTTCTGTAAGTTACGTTGCAACTAAGCCATCATATCGATGATATCTTTCCTGCTCCTCCTAACACAATCAGGGCATTTTATATTGTAAAATCATGTTCAACATGGAGTAAAGTCAGATTACAGAGAATTATTTTCTTTGTAATACACAAATTCAGTATTTCTATTGTCATCCTTCCCAGTCCTGCTAGTAACTCTCAGGAGAATTTCTGTGGCAGTGTCCAGGAAAACAATCCTGAGCTCCATGAACTGTCCAGCCGCAGAGCCATGCGCTGCCTCGCTCCTTCCTGCTCTCCCAAAGGAAAGAGTCCAGGGCTAGTTTTTTCCATCCAAGAGAAACACAAGTTACTTTAAATAATGGCAGATTTTATTGATAAAATTCAAAAGCAGGAAGAAATACCACAGTATAACGTCAAATAAATACAGGCTTGACTTGGCTTGGGAAATGCAAATGGGGCCTGCTGTAGGAAATGGCGGCGCCTCTCGAGGGGTGGCTCCAGCGCACCCTGAGGGCGCTTGGAGGGCTCCCTGAGGCCCGCAGGCCGCGTGGTGCTGCCCACAGGCCTCACGGTGATGCCCGCAGGCCTCACGGTGATGCCCGCCACCTTTCCCCAGCCCCCAAGGTCTCTTTCCACCTGCCATCTGCTTCGCGCGTGAGGCAGCAACGCACGCTGCGCTTCCTTGAGCCACTTCTGGCGCTTCAGTTGCCTCCTACCATCAAACCACGTGTTAGTGGGAGGTCATCGTTCTTACTACTCATAGAATTCTGTCTTTTTCATGTTCTAATCCAGTCTCTTCTATGTGGCTGGTTGAATTCTCTCTTTCAAACTGTACAAGTACATGCACGCACATTCAATTCGCTTCCTTTCTATGACAACTGCCTTCAAGGAACACTTTGAGAAATTTCAAATACTCTTAATTGCTTTTTCATAATGCAGTACAGAAAATATCAAGTTACCAATCTACAAACTGCTGGATACTTATAAGCATCAAACTTTACACACAAAATAAACACTGGACAGGCCAGACAGTCTGTCACAATCTTCTTGAAACTTCTTATAAATCCACACCACACAATGCAAGAGCCAGGGCAATACGTATTACAACTGGTAAACACCACTTACAAAATGGTTTGGATGTAAACTGCAGCTGTTAAGGAATGCCACTTATAAAGGAAACGTCACTTGACTTGCCAAATCTAGTCAGATAAGCAAACTATGTCTAATGAAATTTTATTTTCTAAATAARAATAATAATAAAAAAATCAGTACCAGAAGAACTGAAGCAACTTTTAGAAGTTATTTCCTCATTTACCTCCCCTCTCTTAGCTTCTCTTTCTCCCATTGCACAACTTCTCTGCGCCTTCCTCCCTACTCCTGAGCTATGA